TTGGATGGGTGCTGGCCCAAACATTACAGTAATTAATACACAGTCACAACATTGAATAATACAGTGCAATTGCCACCTTTTTATTAATCAGGTGCTAGGCTTTTCCCAGTAAACCTTCTTTGGCTGTTTTTGTACTTATGCCACTAATGTGGTGTTTCCAGGATGATGAATAGTCAACACTAGGGATGGGTACCGAATTCGGTACTTTTTAAGGTACCGACCGAATTCCATAGTACCGACCGAGCACCGATTCACGTCATTTCAAACGGTGCCTTGTTTCGGTACCCGTCCTTCATAACGAGAACTTGCCTAGACAGCTGCGCATGCGCAAGAGCGTTTTGTCGTCGGTCGCTGCGAGCGAGTTGTAAACAGAGCAGCATGGTAGAAAGAACGCAGGCAAAATCTTGGGTCCACTAAACTAAATGTGATGGGTAACTGGGTGATGATGAAACCAGCGACAATGATCTAAATGAGACATCCTCATCTTAATCTGCTCCGGTAGGTAAATATAATTAGCTTGATATGTTTGCTTCCGTTTTGCTAATGGTGCATTCGCTTTCTCCTCGGAACTCTGAATTCCCGAATAGAAGAACGCGCTCTAAAGTTTGGCTTCACTTTACTAAATGCGATGGGTGATTGGGTGAAGATGAAATCAGTGACAATGATCTAAGTGTGAGGCATCATCGTTTTAATCTGCTCCAGCAGCTAAATAAACTGTTTAAGATAACGTTAGCTTGGTATGTCAGCTTCCATTGCTACCATTGTTATCAGCTAATGGTGCGTTCGCTTTCTCCTTGGAAATTCTAACTTCCCAGTAGGAAAAATCAAATGAAAAAAGATGGCAAAATGAATGAAGATACACAGTAAATTTAGTTCACAGTAAAGATGTTTGCTTCAGTTTCATTATCAGTTTATAAAATACAAACAGTTGAATGTTATTTATCGTGATATATATCAAATATTGTTATATATTGAGAAAAATATATATTTAATTATAAAAGAGAATTAAAACACTCAAAAGTATCGAAAATTGGTACCGTTAAGTACCGGTATCGATTCATAGGTACCGGAAATTAGTACCGGATCGATTCAAATGTCAAAGGTACCCATCCCTAGTCAACACCAAGAAAACAAGCAGAGCTGACTTCGTTAATGGGAATTTTATCAATTCAGATTGCCATTGAAGATTTACATGAATTAGATTTATTACCAAAGAATATAAAACTTGTTTATTTTAAGTGACAGTTTGTTGGTCTTGGACCAAGTAGATAACTTGTCAAGTTCTTCATTACCTTCCTTTATAAGAAACACACTGGTATCATCTGCAAATAAGATTGTGGAAAGTTTACCTGAAACATTAGGGAGATGGTTGATGTATAGTAGAAATAACAAGAATCCCAGAATGGAACCTTGAGGTATACCACACTGAGGGGATTCTAATCCATTATAGATGGATGTGTCAGATAACGGGTGAACCAGTCTGAAAGTTTTCCCAACAAAATAGTATGATTCAGCGTTAAATGCCTTTGGGAGATCCCTAAAAATACCTGTCGTGCTTTCTTTTCTATCTATAAAATGAGGCACAATACCAAAGTTTCAGAAGACTGACCAACGATGGACCTGCATCAGAAAAAGAAACGTTTGCAATGTGAATTAGGACTCAAGTGTCGATTTCTTTCTCAAATAATTTGGGATTTCCAGTTTTGTGGCCACACACTTTATGATACCACAATTCAGCAAAGTTAATTATTCTAGGAATGCTAAAGCGACTGGGAATGCTGGGGTCTGTTATCATCTCCCTGACATCCATGTGATCAAGGCCACCTCGTTGTGTCTCCAGATGCAGTACATGCCAAGCCTTGAGCTGCTGCGTCACATATTACCACCCATGCTGCTTCTCTGGTGGGAGCCATGCATCAGCAGAGCTGGCAGGACACACTCCCAACCTTTCAAACTGCTTGTTGATGCAATCCGTTTCACACACATGCGTTTTACTGCCAGCATATAAACACAAATCTATTTACACACAAGCACATAGAGCCTTACACAAACACCTGTCCATCAGGAACTGAACCCTGCAGTGTACATAAGAACATTTCACAGTCTGGAAGTGATTTTCTGCGTTCTTGTTTCCAGACCTAAACTTTACAGCTGTAACTTTATTGTTTGTGCTGGTGAGACTAGAGCATGCCGAAGTCTCGTCTTATGTCACGGTGTCAGGTAGGAGGCTCGTTATGTTGCCTCTGCGATGTGCACATACTGTCCCCGATGTTGGCTTGCTTGGATGATAGCAGGGGAATATGGGTCTGCCAAAACCTGACTAGGGACTAAGTCTCCAGCTGGAGCCCAGCTGAGAAAAATGAGGCTCAATACCAAAGGTTCAGAAGACCTTCTTGCCATATCTTTTGTTTGATTTGGCTCCCGGATGTCTACTCCTCCATCAACTTGTGTACTGTTGCTCCTTAGAGTTTTTGTTTGGAGGTTAGAAGGTCTTTTATGCTTATAAACCGATCCATCCTTGTGAATCAAAGATTCACTAGTTTTGGTTTTGAGGGTCAAATTCCTTTTGACTAAATTATCTCCAAGAACTACGATTAACCAAATATCTGTACCCGCTTTATTGTGATTAACTTAAAAAATTGTAACCCTCAAAAGTTTATACTTTGGGCAGCTCCCATGCTACATTTTAAATGTGCTATATAAATAAACGATGGTATGGTATAAAGTCCGAGACTGGAACATTTTTTTTATTTCTTCTTGACAATGGTACTATCGTAGACAAGAGAGCAGGAAAAAACAAGGTTAATCGCAGATTGAGGCCATCATGTTCACTATTGGCCAATTTCCTTTTTTCTGCTGGACGTTTGTGGCATTTTTCAGATAAGTGGTTGGCACCCAGTCTGGATCTTTGTGATTCTAAACTGAAAGTAAAATACTACTAACATCACATCCTGTTAGGAGTGCGAAAAGAAGTTCAGACCCTTCTTGGATTGGGTTACGTAGGAATCGTTGATTAGCATTTTAATGCTGATATTGCTTTTATTGTGAATTGGTGTTAAGTAAATAAAAAACTCTTTTGAGTTTTTTTGTTT